TAGAAAAAGCCATTGCCATAGTGATTTAAATGTTTAAACTTTGAGTTTTTAGGACCGTAGACTGGAGTGTAATAAAGTGTGGAGAAACTGTTTAAACAGACATCCTTCTGCACTCTTGAGTGCTCACTTTTTTATCCCCCTGGAGTTGCTTTGTTATTGCAAATTGACAACTTTGCAGTTAAACTGATTAATGATGTACCCTAGTGTTTATGGGTCCCAAGGTCAGTGGGTCCAAAGATGGCCATGCTGTGGGAAACTTAGATAAGAGCTCATCTCATAGAACATGAACCAAAACCCTCCTCTTTTCTGTATGATTGTTTATGAGTTAAATATATTAGATATGGTTGAAGGAGTCACCAAGACATCATGAGTAATGTGAATAATCTTTATTGGTCTAGTTCTGTTGTCTAATTCCTCATGCTTAAACACTAATGTGAACATTCATTGAATACTTTATTAACGTAAAAGATGTTCTTTTATAAAGCAATATTAGGAAAATGCATTAATTAAAGTATAACTTAAGTATAATACCATTCTTTGGGTGTTCATAAGATGCAATTTTGCTTGATTCTTTTATATCTAATTCTTGATAGAGCTATTGTTTATTTATGGCATTATTTTTTCCCATACATTATTCTAACGAATATAGTATAATTTTAGTTTCTAATGTAACTCATTATAACTTAGAACTCCTTTCAACTGTTCAGCTAGAAGTTCTGAAACTGGTTATAATGCATCAGGGATCTTTATTTTGCATACTACTTTTACAAAAATTAGTCAGCTTACGGCTTTGTTCTTTGAATTCCATGTGCTGAGGATGGTGCTGGGCTAAAGTACTGGTATCTCACCATCACGGCTTACTCCTGTACAGTGGCTTCACACTAAGGCAAGAGAACAATAAGCAAATTGTTGAGACGATGGCACTAAGCCATTGCCAGGACACTACACAAAAGTGACTTGTGATGATCACAGTAGTTCAAAGGGAGATGTATTATCCCATTGTGTATTTGCCAGGATTTGAAGAGAAAAATATAGGGATAATTTTTTATAATTACATCTCAGTTTTTAAAGCTGTTTATTCATTTAAACATCCTTTAAAATGACTTGCTTTTATGTAGTATATGCATTGCTAAAGTGAAAGTTGCTCAATATTTGTCTAAAGAAAGACAATTATAACAATTTTAATTTTGAGAAATGGTTTTCCTTATTCATATATTTGGATTTTCTCACCAGGGAATATTAGAAATAGATATATTCTAGTTTGGTGAAGGAAATAGGATTTTCTTCTGTAAACATTGCTTAAATTATGTTTATAGTCTTTTGAAAAGTCCAAGAAATCACAAATTTGATAAGAAAGGTAATGTAACAGAAGGTTTTGGGGATTATTAATTATTATAATATTTCTTTCCCTTAGTTTTAGCCATTTAGAAGAGACTTAAGTAAACATTTCAGATTTTATGAAGATTTGCTCTTTCTTTTTTTCCTCCCAGACTGTCTCACAAAATAGCCAAATATATTGCTTTTTCTTTAGATATTTCTTTAAAATAGCGTTTCCCAGAGAGTTTTTTCCCCTCCTAACTCCAGTCTTGAGAAATATTTCCTAAATAATGAATTGTCCTTCAAATGAGTATGGGCAGCCATAGTATTGTATTCTTTAGACATTTAAAGGCTCTGAGAAGTCCTATGCCTGAGATGCTGTACAGCTTTAACTCCTTGTTTCCCAGATATCTTTGATAACAGAACCTTTTTTGTTTTGGTTTTTTAGAAAGTAGTTTTCCATGAAACATGCTTTGAGAAAAGTCTTCCTTATTATAAAAAGCAGTACATGTACATTGTAAAAAATAGGAAAATACACAAAAGAGAAAAAACAAATATTCCTAGAAAACTTCTCCTAAAATGTTGATGTTTCCAGTATTTTTTTCCATGCACCAATCATGCTATACATGCTATTTCATGTCTTTTTGCTGCATCATAAAGCATTTTATCATGGCAATGCAGAATTCTAAAGTGATTTTAATAATTGTATAATGTTTCATCATGTGGTTATAATTACAATCATTTCTTCATTGTATATTTAATGGGTTCTTTCCAATTTTGCACTATTACAAATTATACTGTAGTGAACAAATATCTTATACATAAAGTCTTTTTCATATTTCAGATTATTTCCTTATAATAAATCTCTAGAAGTTGATCATTATGTCAAAGAGCATGAGCTTTCTTTAAGGCTTTTAACAAATAAATGCCAAAGTATTTTTCGAAAGAGCTGTACTAATACATAGTTCTTCTAGCAACATACAAAAGTTTTCTCACAAGCATTATATATTAACATTTTAAAAAAATCTTTACACAATTGTAAGGTAAAGGTGTGGTGTATCTTTTGTTCTTTGAGATTTAGTAATACTTTTTTAAAACTCTTGTCTTTGTTATTCATCTGTTTTATAGATTTCATTTGTCATGTATTCTAAATTTCCTGAATCACAATAGTTTATATCATAAGAATATGTAGTTTTACTTAAATATAAGATTTTTGTAGCCTATTGATCTTTTAAAATGTAACTAATACATGTTTTAAATTTTATGTACATATACTGTGTATTAAAATGTTTTTCCAAATATTTTTAATGTGGACAACTTGACTTCTGTTTACTCCCAAAAGTAAAGTAACAAACTAAAAGGAAGGCCATTTTCACAGAAGGATTCAAAATTTATGTGGCTAAAATCATACACTTCTGTGAATATCCAAACAGAAGTCCCCTGGTTGACATGCAGTAAAGTAACTCTAAGGAACCTTCTTTTTTAAGTTTCAATGATTCTATGACTCATTTGGTGGTTATTTAAATATTTAAACCAAGAGAACTAATTGTTATTGTATCTAAGGTCAGCTATTTTGTTTGACATTTAATTATAAGCCAGTCTGTTTTTTCTCTACAAGATGTTTGTGTTTTTAACGTGTAATGAACTCATCTTAGGATTTTGAGGGCATTGTTGCCTCTCTTTTCTCTGACTACTTGTCTTAATTCATGTCATTGCACTGTGAAACTTTCTCAGAAGGCAAGCAGAGCAGACATTCAAATTTCAGATTTAGAAATTTTTTTGTGAATTCAAAATTTCAAGCAGTAGTTTTATAGAACTTTTAATTAATAAAGTATGTTTGGACTCATTATTATTTAATATTTTCTCAACAAAATAAGAAGTTAGATTCCACAGTTAATGAAAACTAACCATTCTGGGAGGTTTTGTTATTGTTGCTAACACTCTTTAAATAAGAGCTAACACTTGTAAAAAACTAAGGGGTTTGTTTCCATAGATGAAGGATATATGCATTTTATTTTAAGACTGGAAACATAGTGACTATTAAACATCATGATCTTTTTTACAAACTGTTTTTATGTTGCTAGAAGTGCTTCATGCAACTTGAAATGTCCAGGTAAAAAAGAATACTACCCTTTCTATTTTGACAAACTTTCAGTAATGTCTTGGGTGAATTTAATAAGCTGATCCTTTGTGATTACATCTTATTGTGAAATTTCAATGAAAGGAAGATTCCAGTGTTCTATACTTGAACTTGTTTTCTTTGCCTGTTATAATAACCCTAGAAGCTAAAAGAGAAATTGTCGATTTGAGAGTACACATGGAAAGTTATGCAACTGTATAGAGTGTAATCTGTATTGCAATAACCAAATGTTAGCGTCCCATTGTGGCTTCTCCTTAGGTTAGCCATTTGTTCAGCCAGTGCCTGCCATGGCTAACTAAATTAGTTGTTATTGGAAAATTCAATTGCTGCGAAAGATGTTGATCAGAGTTCATTATTATAATAGGCTATGCTCTTAGACACCCAATAGCCTATGCTGGTGTCTCCTAATTATGATCTGTTGTCTTTGTAAGTAAAACGATCTCATGGTTCGTAGCTTAAAATTATTATTAATATCACTTAGTATTTATCTACCATGCTTACATTTCTTGAATTTCTACACTTGATGTCTTATCCTCAGGATCGTAGGATATGAGAGGAGTCAAATTGCTTGTGGCTTATTGAACATAGATGTACCTTAACATTGGGTAAATAGCTTTTAAAACATTAGAGGCTTTCCCAATTATGTAGTTACTATTCCTGATTACAGTCAGTATATTGTTATATATAAGAACCATGGGCCTCAGCTCCATTCTAAGCAATTTACTTACTCTACCTTTGAAGTTCTTTATCTGAAAAATGAGGATAATAGTTTTTACTTTGGTTATTGTCATGGTTTTATGAGATAATTGCTCTAAACCAATTATTACTATTGAGCCCATGCTAACCAAAGTCATGGTAATAACACAATACAAAAGAGCATATATTAAAGATAAAAATTAATTTAAATTTGGAAATAGTTACGTTATATGCATGGATTTTTGTCTTTTTCTTGTTCTCTCTTTTCTACACTCATTACTGATAACCTATTAGATGCTAGGCACTGTGCTGACATACAGACACAAATGGGATATGACCACTGCCTTTACTGAAATTATAGCCTAGTGGAAGCGTATTCAGTATCTTCACAAAGAGACCTAATATCCTGTGGATGTATTCATCGATGTTAGGAGAAAAAGGCCATTGGAGATAAAGATTCAGATTAGATGGCTGAGGAATCACTCTAGGATTGGAAAGTCGTGTTTATTACACTTTTACCCTTTTAGATAGGGAATAGCCTTAATTTAAAGATTAAACATGGGTGCATTCACAGACAGGATTGATGTTTGTCTTCCTTAGTTAAGTTAGTAGAGAACTAGAGACTGCTAATGAATACCTAGTAATAAGAATATTGGATCTTGCCGGGTTTGATTTATATGAACTAATTAGAAGATTGTGAATAATCAAACCTGTGAATTATGAAACTATAAATTCTGAAGCTTTAGTATATTAAGGTACATAATAGCAAAAATTCCATGAATGAGAAGTTTACAAGTTTGTAAAAATTCATGGTTTTTTTTCTCTTTTTCTTTCTTTTTTCCCCCAGAGCATCTGCTACATCCAAGCCTGAGCCAGTTTCTGTTCAAAAGGTGAGTGTCTAATCTAGCATCGCTGGGGTACCATTTGATGGTACCATTTCTGAGCCATTGTAATTTCCATTTCTGTCTCAGGCCATACTGACATTTAGTTTATAGTCTCAATACAATTTTCCTCATTGTTTTTTTCCTTAAAAGAAGGAGGAAAATGGAAATCAGCACATACAGAATTATAATTTGTAGTTACACCTATGTCATAAAACATTATTTCCAAAGCCATGCATTATCAATAACTTATGCCCAAATTTCTGATATTTCTATTCACTTTTAATTTATCGATCTTTAATCATGTACTTTTTGAAGAGAATAAATAAGTAGTTACCAAAAATGAACATCACAATAAGTCTTTAATAACATTTTATTAATAATAAGTATTTAATTACATTTCAGAGTATTCTTGGATTAGGTTATTGGCAAGTACCAAACCTTTTCTCTCTTATATATTCTCAAATTGTTTCAAACCGTTATTTATATATATCTGGTTCATGCTTTTGGGGATTTTCTCCCTAATTTTATTTGTGCCCCTTCATTTGAATTACTCATTATACAAACTGAGCATCCTTAATTTGAAATTCCAAAATATGAAATGCTCTGAAGTAAAATACTTTTTGAGCGCTAACATGATGCTCAAAGGAAATGCTTATTGGAGCTTTTTGGATTTCAGATTTTTGGATTTAGGAATATTCATGTATTCTGCAAATGTTCCAAAATCTGAAAACATTCAAAATCTGAAACACTTGGTCTCAAGCTATTTGTGTAAGGGATACTCAGCCTGTACTGATTTGCTTAAGCATTAAGCTACTTATTTTTCTCAGTTTTCTTTTTTTATAAGATTAATTTAGATTACCTTTTTTCCTTAAAATTAAACATAATAGAGCCACCATTGTATTTTTTTTTAATTTGATTGTTTTTCTTTTGGATGATAGTGTGGTGAGTAGGGATTTATTTTTGAATGTCATAGAAGCTTAGTCTGATTTTTAAAAAACGTTGTGCTTTGAAGTAAGGATTTACAAACACAAATTCTGGTAATTTTAGGAGAAATTGATCTTTATTACTAGCTATTTTTTCTTTGGCTACTTGCAATGAAAAAACATCAAAGATCATTTTTTTCCTCATGTAACTATTAAATATTTATTTTGGAAAAGGAAAAGAATTTTATTCTATCTCTGAATCATATCTTAAAACATTCAGGGAAAGAAACAGGTAGATTACAGGAAAGAGAAAGAATTGATTTTTGTTTTGTTCATTTGGTTGCCTTTTTAAGTTTTTTTTTTCAAATTCTTTATTCAAGTTAATTAATTAAAATGTGCACATTTCTGAGTTAGATGCAAATTATCTTATTCCCCATTTGTTTAAATTAAAGAGTTAGAAACGTGCTGCTGCTTCTGCATGAATCAAATAATTCCACTTTGGGGAGAAATTAAACATGTTTGAAAGATAGAATTATAATTGAGGCTCTAGATATTTTAAAATAAAATCATTTCCCGTAGCAGTGTTTTGTTTATTATGGAGTATTTTAAAAGTTTTCTTTTAGAATATGTCTAATTTGACACAATGACCTTTAGGCTTTCTGATAGTTTTCCTACTCTATTTCCTAAATATTTCAAAACTCCTTTCATTTTTATAAAAAAAAATTTATACTTAGTGTGTGCATCTGTGTTGTGCATGTTGGGATTAGTCAGCATGCATGCTATGCTGTATCAACTCATTGTTTTTATCTGGAAATGTGACGTTTGAGTTGCTAACATGATCGTGTTTGTCTTTTTAAAAATCAGCTGTGTGTTCTTTTCAGTGAAATATATTTTGCATGTGTTTGGTGTGTTTTTGTGTATGTTTATTTTTATTTTACATAGGGAGAACCTAAAGAAGTAGTTAAACCTGTGCCCATTCCATCTCCTGCTGTGTCCAAAGTCACTTCCACAACCAACATGGCCTACAATAAGGCACCACGGCCTTTTGGTTCTGTGTCTTCACCAAAAGTCACATCCATCCCATCACCATCGTCCGCCTTCACCCCAGCCCATGCGACCACTTCATCACATGCTTCCCTTCCACCTGTGGCTGCCGTCACTCCTCCCCCATTCGCTGCATCTGGACTGCATGCTAATGCCAATCTTAGTGCTGACCAGTGTTCATCTGCACTGAGCGCTGGTAAAACTGCAGTTAATGTCCCACGGCAGCCCACAATCACCAGCGTGTGTTCCGAGACTGCTCAGGAGCTAGCGGAGGGACAGAGAAGAGGATCCCAGGGGGACAGTAAACAGCAAAATGGGTAGGTGGCTAAGGGTGCTTTCTGCTCTTACCAAAACTGTTCTTTCAGGTAACTTCCAGGAAACACTTAATCTACATCCTCTCTCCCCCCCAACCCCATCAGCTGCTCTTTGAAGGAAGGGAGATGAAATTTTATTTGCTTCATTAACATATGGCCTTTATATTATATACATATGGCACTTTCTGCAAAGCAATTATAGGTTAATCAAAACCTAATTATGTATTTGGACATGTTATGAACCATGTAACATACTCTGTAACTCTTTTTCTCCAAGGCCTGGCACAACATTGAGCAGCTGGCACTTATAATGCAAGGCAAATCTTGAATCTTTCTTCCTCTGTGTTTCCATGTTTCCACTCTTTTATTGACCACCAAAAGTTTAAACAGAGTGATTACAGTTGTTGTCACATTATGCTTCTCACCCTAAAGGGAGAGGAAATGAAGAGTTAGTAAGAGGCTTTTTCCTAGGAAGCAGTCTTAAGAAAACAGAAAACCAGTCCATGTTTGACTCATGTATATGTGTGAAGCATTAGCTCAGAGGAGATAGTTAATGACATTCTTTTCAGATAAGCTTAAGTTAGAATTTATTGTTTAAAAGCAAACAGTAATGAAACAACAAAGGATGCTTAGAAAGCATCAGAAGTAATTTAGAGAATATTTTCATTGTAAAGATTTTTCTAAAATGAGTGAATTTTAAACCAGTGGATGTTAAATATATGATGTTAGCAAGTTTTCAAAACTCTATTCCTAATAAATTTTCCCTTTTGGGGTATATTTTTAAAAAAATTGGTTGAAGTTATTAACTCATTTGAACCACACACATAGTTATAAGATTACACATCAATTTTTCAGTAACCTTCATTTACAGAAGGTGATTTTATTCCTTTTAGAATTCAGTGATACTACTTTAAAGCAAATCATTTATGTAAAATCATTTTGATCAGATTTATTGTGACAAAAATGTACTTCAAAAGGAAAACAAAGAGAAATAGTTTGCACGCCTGATGGTTTTTACCAATGCCAGTTCCCAGGAAAATATAATTAAAATAATTGTGTGGATAGGTCCTTTCTATGAGATAATCCCTTCCGAATGTTAATTGTTGTGGTGAAGAGACTGTGCTTTCGGTAGCACTGCTGCCATGGCAACTTTGGGGCTTTGGAAGAAAAGGTGGCAGGGTGCCAGGCTGCTGCTGAGAGAAAGAGCAGCTACTGAGCCCTACAGATGGTCTTGTGGTTGTGGGTGGCTTTTTAAAGTTTTGTTGTATATATCGAGGAAAACTAGTGTCCTTCAAATAATGTTATTTTTTCTTTCATATGTGGAAGAGAAACAGTATGGAGTATTGAGGTGTGTGTGGTTGTAAATTTTTTTTTGTATGTGTTTTAAGACAATAGATTTTAGAGTAATCAGAGTAGATACCCTGAAAAGAAAGATGCTGCCTGTCAGATGTTAGCCACACAAAACACTAAAACAGAAGTTTACTACATTTATTAAATTCCAGGGTCAGTAGAATAACAGCCATTGAAGGAAGGGTCTTAACTAAGATCTTTTCTCCTAACATGCCTTAAAATTGTACAACAAAGTCTTCTTAATGAAAAATTGTAGAGGCAAAAGCAAATTGAAATTATGGAAAAGTACTACATTTAAAACATCTGAAAACACCAAGCTTAAATTTTGTGTCTTGTAAGCACAACATTGGTGATAAAACTTGAAATGATTTGAAGCTTATTATTTTCAAACTGTAAGTAGGCAGTGGTGTAGTTACAGGGCCTTTATGGTGGCTTCTCAATCAATCGACAAGTGTTTATTAAATACATGCCTGCCGTCCAACACTGCAAAATCCAGGAGAAAAGGGATTATTATATATTTTGCATCATTAACAAGCAAGTTACTGCTTTGCAACTGCAAACTGGATAAAGTTAAAAAATAATTTGATTTCAAATGTTATCCAGGTGCTAGGACAAGGAAAACTTGATTACTCTGAAAATAAAGTATGGTATCTATGAAATTCTAAGACAAATTTGCAGTGTCTTTTTTCTCACTACATTTAGAGTAGAGAAACCAAAAATAAATCACACACTTTACTAGTCATTGATGTGTCATTTTGAAGAGTAGGTGTTTTGTGATATTGATGAATGCATTTTCTGCATCAAGTGTCAAACTATTTTTCTGAAATCTAAGTAAAACTTTTTACTATTTCTCAGATATTTATAATGTAAAAAATGTCTGCAGGAAAACTTTTGAAGTTGAGTTGTTACTTTTTATTAATTACTTTTTAAAATAATACATACCACTGACCAACATTTTAGAAGTTCAATAGGATGTAAAGTTAAATGCTTAAGTTGTCTTTTCCTTCAAAGCACCAGGAAGACTATTAGTTTTTAAGTGATTTAAAGTAGCTAGCTAATCTGCCAAGTTGTTAGACATCCTACCCAAATTTGTATAGGATTAATAAACACAAGATTTAAACAAGTCCTTATTAATTAACTAATTAATTACTAAGAAATAATTAGCTATCCATCCTAATAGTATGAAATCTGTAGATTATATTGGTATTTTTAGAATATTTCTCAATAATACTATAGAAGTATTCCTGTTCCTTCTTATAAACAATGATTAAGAAACTTTAAGAAATTTTACAACTGGATGCAGTGGCTCATGCCTGTAATTCTAGCACTTAGGGAGGCTGAGGCAGGAGGATCACTTGAGCCCAGGAGTTTGAGGTTGCAGTGAGCTATGATGATGCCACTGCACTCTAGCCCAGGCGACAGAGCGAGACCCTGTCTCAAAAAAAAAAAAAAAAAAGGAAGAAAGAAAGAAAAATTTTAAATCTTTCTTCTATATATACAAATTATTGGTCATGGCTGGCTGTTTTCATTACTTCTTTGCTTACTCTACTAAGAGGAAAATGTGACTTTATATCCCAAACTGTGAGGAAAGCTGTTTTGCTCCAAGTAGTTTAATTGATTTACCTTTTCCCTTTCCATATATCCTTGCATTATAAAGTGCCACTGCTTTCAAGAGGTAAGTCTTTTAGTATCCTATATTAATTTCAATTTCGCTGGACTGCAGTTTCTTCTAACAGTTCCTGTGTGGTATTTTGAAGAACTTGGCCTTGAAAGACAGAAAAATAATGATATGGTAGTAATATTTTAAAATGCTTTTCTCTTTGCAGAAAACACAGGTGACAAAGTTAGTATCCACATTACTGGAGAGGAAATATGGTGATTTATATATGAGTAATCAGCATGAATGCCCGATTTTTTGCAAAATAAAGTGACATTTTGCAAAAGAGCTATAATTTAGAATAACCACATTTAGTGTTTTTAGTAAGTTTGGTTTGCATCGCTACGTTGTGAATTGCTTCATAGTAATGAATAGTAGTGTTTAACTTATCTCATAGAATATATGTGGAGTTTGCTGTGTAATGGTTTAAAAGAAGCAGTGCTTGGGGGAATGTAATTTATATCAATTGAGACTGCAAGAAGACAAAGGTAAAGATAGAAGAGAAAGCATAAACATTCGTACCCCTAGTGAATGGCATATATAAAACTGAGTTGATGTCCAAGTTAATATCAAAAGTCAGTGTTTCCTAGGTAAAGTCTCTAAGAACCTTTATGACTTCTCTAGAGAGTTTTAATTCAAACAATGTTGCTCTCAGGTTCAGACCTCTATATATACAGTTGCGTGTCCATGGATAATAGTATGGAAAATCCATACACCTTTGAAATTAGTTAAGAGAGATAATTATCAACTTATTAAATGTCACAGTTAGTTGGTATAGACATTGGGAATTACTGTGGTATAACTTTCAAATCTTGCTTTTGTGTTCCACTGGTACTGACACTATGATTACTAGCATTAAAAATAGGTAAAAATCACATTAGATAAGAACTTAAAGTTATATTAACCAACTTATGATTATTTTGAATATGTGCTAAAATTTCTTTTGTATCACACTGTAGAGTAGAATTGGAAATACTGAGTATTGATCTTGGGATATACCAAAGACAATTAGCTATTGAATTATTAGAGTAATTTCATTCCATTGTGGCTGTGGTCTTACTGATTGAATGGTTTTGTTATATATACATAGGAATATTGCATACCAGTGTATTACTAAAACATCCCCAAATCCTGATTATTGTTTGTCTATTTATGATTAAATTCCTATATAGAGAGACTTTGACTAATTACTCAATTCCAGTACAAGAAACAATTTGACTTGTAAAAGGAAACAATGGAATTTAGAAAAAATAAATCTAAACATTTAGGTTAAATATTAATATATATTTTTTAAAAATTCAAGATTGATTAATCTATTAGGTTTTACTGGGCATTGTGCCAGGTGTTTTTAGATGTGTTATGTAATTTAATTCTTATTTACATTCTGAACACTGAGAGATTACATAATTTTCTCAAATCATGTGTCTTACAAGTTAATAGAGCTAAGATTTGAGCCTCTATCTTTGGAAGCCAAACTTTGATGGGCTTTCCTCTGTATCACATGCTTATTGTGACTAGGGTTTATTTCTGTGATTTTGAATTCGTGTTTTTTTCTGGATGATTATAGAGTTGAATTGAGGCCATACGAGTGAATTGATGTGCATATTGCTACAGTTGGGTTTGATACTACTATTTTTGAGTAATTGGGGCATCTATCTCAACAATCTGTGTTTGTGCAGTTTTCAAAGTGCCTTCAAATATGTTAAACTTCAAGACCTTGTAAGAAATCTGTATGACAGAGAAATTGTAATTCATTTCACTTTTGAGGAAAATGAGGCTCTGGTAGCTTACAGCTTGTCTAGGGCACAGCAGAAGTGGGCAACCCAGCAAGGATGAGAAGCCAGGACATCTGAAACATGAAAACATTTGTTTGACATATTCAAACCGACATCTTTAGGTTGAAATCAATCAACTCTCCACTTGCTGCCCATCACCAAACCATAGAACATTTTCCTCCAACTTCACGTTGACATAGAACATTTTTCCCAAACTTTAAAATGTTTAAGTATACGTTCAAAATTCTACTCCGTTCAAGAGTTTATTTTGCAAAACTATTTCCCTGCTGCTTAATACAGCAAGGCAGAGGAGAGAATGCTTTGCATTGTGGCTAGAGAAGGATAAATACAGGCAGACCATTGAGATCAACTTATTCCTGCATCCTACCCTCACTCAGTGAAACCTAGCCCTCTGTTGAGTTTATGAAACTGACTTTGACATGTGGAAATATACCCACACTGACCAATCTTAGCATTAAAACTGGTAGGCAGTTTTTTTCACTATGTTTATAATGAATTATTACTTACTCTGGCTGAATGTTGTTGCAGAATCAAAGAACACTACAACGTGTTCTTTGACAAACTATGTAGTTTATACTTTGGTCTTCTCTATCCATACTGGAATATGAATGTGTTTCTAATTATTCTGTACTTAGTAGACCATGTGAATGAATTGCTTTGAGATTCTCCCTTTTCAGGCATTTTTAACCTAGTTCCTTTACTGTGTCATATCAGATATGCCTTTCTAGGCAATAATTATGTCACTGATAATACAGAACTGTGAAGTTCCCAAAGATCACTAAAGTTACCAGGACTTGCTTATGGATGAGGGTGGCGGTAATCAAGGACAGGGGAGAGAATGAAAATTGAGTAATAGCCCATTATTTATGATCCATTGTGCTCCTGCATTTTTCATCATAATCACTACATTGTAAGAAAGAATAGAATTATCAAAAAAGTATCATTCTTTTATAATATATGATTCAGGATAATTTATTTGAGGAGATTAAATTGCTATTAATATATACCTCTATTATGTGACACTGAAAAGATTATCTCTTATTCTCTTCTCATTTTAAAAGTGATCTAAAATGATCTGTTTCTGCATTTTATGTCTAGTTACGCTCTACTTTTTGTTGGGACCATAATATGATTTTGCATTCATGTTAAAATGTATTTTATAAAAACCTGGACATTTTTTAAAAATAGTGGATGTTTCTTTTTTGGTATTCAGTAACTTGAGACTTGAACTAACATTAATACATAAAATAGTTTTCAGTGTTTGAGGGTGGAAACAGCTAAAACTGTCATCCTTGATTATATTAATAACAGTGTAGCAGAATTTTGACTAACACATGTTCAGTTTTGTCTGTCTGTGTTTACACGTTTATTTGGAAGCATGATGTTTGCACAAAATCTTTCCTTGATTTCATTGTTTTGAATTTCGTTATTTCATTTTATCTTTTTCTTTTCTTTTCTTTTCTTTTCTTTCTTTCTTTCTTTCTTTCTTTCTTTCTTTCTTTCTTTCTTTCTTTCTTTCTTTGTCTGTTTTTCATCACCCTGGGAACGTCAATGTCTTCTCTACTTTGTCACATCTTTTTTGTGTATTTTATTCCTCTTCAGTAACCCTGGCACCATGTAAGTATTAAATACTTAATGGTTCGTTTTGTAATTTTCACCGTCTCTCTAACTTTTCATCTTGCTTTGTACTTAATACCACCAGCAACTTTTGTTAGTATCTTCTCATTAAAAGAATTCTTAAAAATGTTAAGGAGCATAAAACATGTTTTTTATACTGGAAAACTTCATATAAATCAATGGGTGTGTTCAGAATGCCCATTCTTCTGCAATAGAAAAACTTAGCAAGTTAACCTTCAAGGAGGACGGATGAGTTTATGGATGGTACATGCTAGAGTTAGAGATGTAGTTTGGGCCTTCCTTCTTTAGTATTTTTTTAAATATAATGTCTATATTTTGAAGTAAATTACTTGCTCTTGAGAGTTAAGTTTACATTCTATCCCAAATATGTTTTTAAAAAGAAAATCATCAAAATTATTCTCTTTTTTAAGCACAGTCATCAGAGCCTGGAGTTTCAGAGCCAGGAAGCACTAAGTAAATATTTAGAAATTTCATATCACTTAACACAAGACCTTAAGCTGTGTGGTAAATGACATAAAGAGTCTAAGGTGTGCTATACTTTTTGCAAGCATGTCATGGCTAAAAATGCTACTTAAGTGGTGTCATTTTATTATTCTTAATGTCTTAGCTTGACATCTTGGTTTTGTTTTTATAGACCACACCTTTTAGAAAGGATAAAATAGTCTTATACTTGAAATTGGCACCAATTACGAGTAAACTACTATCGGTAATTGTAGAGAAATTTAAAACTATAATAAGTTTAGTGGCTGCATATAAAATTTTTCAAGTACTGCATAAGATAAAGAGTTGTTGGTTTTATATCTGCCAAAGGCAATCTGTTTATGAAGTAATCTATGCCTATTTATCAATTTTTAAAAATTTTGTCCATTTTAAAAAGAATTAGATTTTGTTCAATATTAGTGGAAGTTCTTTTAGACATTTCACTTGTGGAATCATAAGATATTATCATTAATCATAATATGTCTTACTATTTTGTGTAAATATGCAAAATAGCGTTAGAATATGCGTTGCAATTGGTTTTCTAGTAATCATAAAAGAACACGTTATCATGATCATTACTATGTATTAGGTTATGTGGAAAGCACTTTACATACGTTATCTATCTTATTTATTCCTCAGAACAATCCTTTAATATGCAATTCTGTTTCTCAAGTGGGAAAATTGAGACTTTGAGAAGTTAAGTGACTCAGATAAAACACACACTGAGTCTGACTTTAAAGCCAGTGTTGTTAACTTTGATTCTGTCATGGTCTTTACTGGGGAAATTCTTCCAGCATACTGACACAGTTTTGATAGGGTGGCTATTAAAATGATGACAGTCATGTGGCATACTGATAGCACTATGATTTTCTAGCAGTGAGTGAAACCTAGCATGTGTTGCTGCCCACATTTGACCACATTTAGAGCACTTTGTTCACTCAGATCTTGTGCCAGTAGTCTGCTAGTCTAGACTCACGTTCCTTTTTCTCTTCTGAAATTAAACCAATGGCCCAGAAGTTTCTGTTTGTCCTATTTTGCAGGGGGAGAAGTGGGAGTATTTATTATTGTTAATAGATCTTAAAGTGTTAAAGTAATTTACGTTGTAGATTCCTTACCATTTATGCTTTGTTAATAGAAAAATGAATGTTCTTACCAAACTCAAGGTTCTTGAACTCTGTAGTTCACAAATTTCTTTCACACGTTTTATTTCATTTAATCCTCAGAACAGTGCTACTTTGTATGTGATATTCTTTCCTCGTAAATGAAAAAAACTGAGGCTTAGTTAGATTGACTTATCTAAAATCACACATCTGAAAAGTCATAGAGCCAAGATTTAAATCCTTGTCTTTTTATACATATTAATATTTCAGCATTTTCTATTATACCACAGCTCTTTACTATGCTGACTATAACAGCTTTATTTAGGATAAGGGATATCTGGTACGTATGAATGAGAAAACTATAGAAAATAACAGATGGGACTCTTTTCAAAATTGTATTTGGTATTGCTGGTTTAGCTTCTACCAAACCATTTTTGGTTCCTGGGCTGAGTGAAGATATGAT